GGGTTACACGCTCGTTTAGGAAGTAAGAAGTCTGCGGTTAAAGTCCCAGTTAAGGCAACTCATGTTGTTTTTGTTCTTAACTTTTAAAAAAATGTTTAAGCCAAATAAACATTGAATTCAATATTAGTGTTGCAATTAGCCTTATAGCCAATTTACTACAGTTAAAACACTGGAAAGCATTGGTGGCACTATACAAAAACAAATTGTTTTATAATCTCACAACCTTACACCTTTCTGACATTCAGAGACCCAAACAAATTCAGCGCCTTCTGTGCTTTGATTTACTCTGTTGTCCAATTTAGCTGCGTGAAAAATATTGTATAAACTATTCCTTCCCTACTCTGAATAAATTTTATTTTCTTTTGTCAAGTAAAAATATGAGAAATAAAAAGAAATGTTTCAAAATTAACCATACGTGCTATGAAATAAGAGCAGAATTGCTTGCACATATAGCTGCTCCTTATAAACAGATATAAAATTATCTGTTTAATTATTTTCAAATTATATAAATATTGTTAATATGATCGTTTTTGATGTATTTATGTTTTTGTGTATTTTATTTATATTGTATATACATGTATTTCTGTTGTCTTGGACATCATGACAGTTATTGTAAATTGCCAAGGGCATTTTTCATGCCGATCTAGCCAAATATACTGTAAACTGTAAATTTAAACAGAGTACTATGATATATTACGTTAAATTTGTATACCTTTTATTTATGCATCTATTCAATTCACTTTAAACTACCAAAGAACAAAAAACATGTAGAAAAATCGTATACACGTAGGCGTTGTGTTAAAATCATTTTTTTTTACTCATTATGCAAATTAGATATTAAACTTTAATGTAAATGCCATCTTTCAAATTAAACTTCATCAATTTCAATAGATTTACACCGACTATAAATTAACTTCATTAATTAACCCCTTTTAAACTTTTGTGTAACATGTATGAACTCGCGATTTTTACTGATTTTACACCTAAAATTTGGCATATTATTAAGAATTTTGGATGTTACTATTAAAATTACTATTAAACATGTATACATAAATTGTTAACTTATAATTCTGTCCAACTGTCTCTTGATCTACAGATAATGTTTCGCTAATAGCAGAAAAAATTGAAAAAAAAAATGCTTTACAATAAAGGGATAATATTTTAATGACAACATAAAAAAATCATTTGTTTAAAACCGCCTGGACAAAATTTGATCCCTTTTGACCGGATTTCATTTACAAAATGTATCACGGCTAAACTTAATAATGAGCCGCGTCACGACAAAACCAACATAATGCGTTTGCGACCAGCATGGATCCAGACCAGCCTGCGCATCCGCGCAGTCTGATCAGGATCCATGCTGTTCGCTTACAAACCCTATAACAAGTAGAGAAACTGATAGAGAACAGCATGGATCCTGATCAGACTGCGCGGATGCGCAGGCTGGTCTGGATCCATGCTGGTCGCAAACCCATTATGTTGGTTTTTGTAATGACGCGGCTCAATTACGTTTTAATGCAATTAAAAGGCGGTTTCGTTAAATTATTTATTGGCCAGGGCTTCTTTTATATCATATAACATCCATCATGGGAAGTTAATTGAATTATTCATTTTTATTTTGACTAATTGAAACTGACACCAAAGTAACGTACAGGATTTCAATTTTATAATTTTTATGGAAAAAAATCTTTTGACTACTTATTTTTTGTTTGTAAAAGTTCCTGTATGTTACCACAGGTAAGTGACGTTTAAGATATGTACATGTATATAATTATGCAACAATTATGTTGAAACAATTTTCAAACATCGAAGAATATGTAAAATATGAACTGCAAATATTTGTACATATTATATGCAATCAATAAAATATACGCATTCATTTCTTATCAAAAATTTGACTTAGACTTTATAGAAAATAAATTTCTAATTATCTCCCTTCATAAACATAAAATGTAAATTAGAAACTTACAATATTAATAAATCTTGATTTGAGCATTATATTTATGATACAAAACCAGAAAAAAATTGAGTTACAGGATCTTTTATGTGAAAGAATCTTCAATCTGAATGATAAATGTGATTTAATGGATCTATCACAAAATAGAAAGTACACATGTATCTATAAAAAATGTATCTGTAAATACAAGCACGGATTTATGTTACATATAAATCAGTGATACAAGTAAAGGGTTATTTTGGCTATTTTGTTTTAAATATCACTATTCCATAAAACTTTTCACTCACGTCTTTCCTTGTTTAAGATATCCCTTAAAACCTTTTGCTTATTTTCATTTTCTACCTTGCTATTTTGATTCGATTGTAAGCCTCAATGTTACAAATTGTCTGTAAGGTAAGGTAAGGTAAGTTTTTTTTTAAATGAAGCCATTTTGATACATTATGTTCTGGTCAGTCTCTATCAAGATATTTCTGCCAGAAAAACAACTAAAGAAAGTCGATTTCAACATTTGATATAATTATGTATAAAATCTTAATGTAAAAAACATTTGAAATTATTTTAATAAAACACAAAAACAGACCCTTAGCTAAAATAGAGAAAAGCAGAATCACTAAAGAAATTCTGACACGAAAAATTGAAAATGTTGCAGGCTCGGTTTGATTGAGCCTGTTCATGGACGGTACTGGAAAGTGCAAGTACCCTCCACGCCCCCTAGCACCGGCTTAAGCAGAATTCAACATTTAAACACGAAAATGGTGAAATTTTGAATTTAGAAACATCCGCAGATTTGTTCATACGGCGGTTTTCATGGAACCTTTAATGTGACACGTAAGTGCCATTCCATGAAAAGCGGCATACGGTCCCCAAGTAAAAGTCCCCAAGTAAAAGAATGCGTGTGCCCTAAACGAGAAAAAAATGGGCGGAAGTAAATAAAATGGAATTTTGAAAGGAGATCGGAGGTTATGAAGCCTGCATATCACAGATAAGACGTCAACAGACAAATTTAAATTTATTTCTATATAGGAACATTTTTATAGAATTGGATAACATCTGCTCCTGAAGTGTAAAGCAGATTTTTTATTTGGGCAGTACTACTCTTTAATGATGTCGGATTCATAGCACAGCTTTTGATAAAAACTAACCATGACCTTAATTCATGGCTTATCAGTACCAATATTGTACTTTATTAAAAAACATCAATGGACATGTAGATTTAAAGTTGCATTAGCAATGTATATTCAAATATCTATAATAGAATATATTTCAAGACAATGGTTATGCTTTCTCCAGAAAATAATGCATAAAATGGTTTGTAAATAGATGGTTTACACATAGTTTTGAGTAATTTCCGTGCCAATTAAACTCAAATTGAAACGGTACTGTGTCTAACAGGTTAAAGTTGTCCACAGAGATACATACATATATCAATTCCAACATAATCTGTAGACTCTTGGGTCAGGCACATTGTGTTGTAGGTAAACTTAACAACCTGCCAATAATACAGTGGCTCCACTATTCCCCAGTACTTCATACTAGTAAAACAAGGACATTGCCAATGTAAGAAATCACAACAGGAAGATTTTTTATATAGCAAATGAAATTAGAAATTGACCTAGATTATTTATTATGATCCAAAGGACACATGAATACCTTAAGTATTTGTCTAGTAAAATCCTGCTTGAGTCCTGGAAAGTAACATATTATGGTGTGAAGTTTAATATGAATTAACTTTCAGAAGTTTTAAATTTCTTAAGATTGGTCTTCCAAGCAAACTTTAGCATTGATTATTATAATTCGGTTAAAATCCAAGCAAGAGTTATGGACTTTTGGAACCGTTCTGCCAGAGGAACCATTCTGCCAGAGGAACCATTCTGTCATAGAGGAACCATTCTCCCAAGGAAAAACTGTCACAAAGTAACCATTCTGCCACAGAGGAACCATTCTGCCACAGAGGAACCGTTCTGCCAGAGGAACTATTCTGCCAGAAGAACCACTCTGCTACAAAGGAACCACTATGTCATAGTAACCTTTCTGCCACAAAGAAACCACTCTGTCAAAGAAGGACCGATCTGCCCATAGGAACCACTCTGTCAAAGAGGAACCATTCTGTCACAGAGGAACCGTTCTGTCACAGAGGAACCACCCTGTAACAGAGGAACCATTCTGTCACAGAGGAACCACCCTGTAACAGAGGAACCATTCTGCCACAGAGGAACCACTCTGTAACAGAGGAACCGTTCTGTCACAGAGGAACCATTCTGCCACAGAGGAACCATTCTGTCACAGAGGAACCATTCTGTCACAGAGGAACCATTCTTCCACAAAGGAACCACTCTGCCACAGAGGAACCATTCTGCCAGAGGAACCATTCTGCCACAAAGAAACCATTCTGCCACAGAGGAACCATTCCCTTACAGAGGAACCATTCTCCCAAGGAACCAGTGTCACAAAGTAACCAATCTGCCACAGAGGAACCGTTCTGCCACAGTGGAACCGTTCTGTCACAGAGAGGAACCATTCTGTCACAGAGGAACCGTTCTGTCACAGAGGAACCATTCTGTCACAGAGGAACCATTCTGTCACAGAGGAACCGTTCTGTCACAGAGGAACCACTCTGCCACACAGAACCACCCTGTAACAGAGGAACCATTCTGCCACAGAGGAACCACTCTGTAACAGAGGAACCATTCTGTCACAGGGGAACCATTCTGCCACAGAGGAACCACTCTGTAACAGAGGAACCATTCTGTCACAGGGGAACCATTCTGCCACAGAGGAACCATTCTGCCACAGAGGAACCACTCTGTAACAGAGGAACCATTCTGTCACAGAGGAACCATTCTACCACAGAGGAACCATTCTGTCACAGTAGAACCACTCTGTCACAGAGGAACCACTTTGTAGAAGAGGAATCATTTTGCTGCAGAGGAACCGTTCTGCCACAGGGGAACCATTCTACCACAGAGGAACCTCTCCACCACAAAGGCTACATGCATTTAAAACTTGAGATAACAACAGGAACAAGAAACCAAAGGACAATGTAATATCATAATAAACATTTATTTTTTTTGTGTCTCTAACAGCCATATTACATTGTTCTGTATCACAACAACCATTATCACATAACTATATAAACTTAACTGTTCTATAACAACAATATAAACCATACAACAAACCTCAACATACAATGCAGTGTGTACAATATTGATATCAATATATAGAGCTACAGTAATAATGTACAAAATCATTTAATGTATAGATCTACAGTGATAATGTACAATATCATTTAATGTATAGATCTACAGTGATAATGTACAATATCATTTAATGTATAGATCTACAGTGATAATGTACAATATCATTTAATGTATAGATCTACAGTGATAATGTACAATATCAATGTATAGTTCTACAATGATAATTATAACATAATTCATATTTTTCGATAATACACAGTAATCTAAATTTTCATCATTGTAAATTCATACATTTGTTTATTTTATTATCTTTTATTTAAAGTGGTTTGTACCTTTTAAGAAAAAAGTTACTTCTATTTTATTAAGTTGGCAAAGCAATAAATAAAACAAATGTTATTCTGTTAAAATGTAAAATCCAGGTTTTTGCAGTTGTTACAACGAATTTAATGATATGTTTAATAAAATAATTATGAGTATTTCAAGGTTTCAGCAGTAATTAATCAAAGGTACTTATCATAGACTATGTAACATTGTCTTCAACTTTAAGAAAATGGCACAGAAAGTTTATGGTAGTTTAAACTAGAAGCATTGTCAGAACAGTTTATTAACATGTAATTAAAGTTGGGTAAAAGGTACTTATCATAGGCTATGTAAAATTGTCTTCAACTTGGCACAAAAAGTTAATGGTAGTTTAAGCTAGAAGCATTTGTCGGATACCAACGGTTAATTAACATTTAATTAAAGTTTGGTAAAATGAATCAATTTTGCATCAACATACAGCATATAGGTGTGTAAAATATTGACCAGTGAAATCACGTTTAACAAAAAACAATGGAGACAAAAATAAACAGTAACAGTAAATTTTCTACGCCTTTTGCTAGAATCATTCACATATTTAATACTGAACTTTTCACAGCTGAATTTTATTGGTTGCCACAATTTTGTCTTTAATACCAAATGTTGTATAGAACAAGCATTTGGATTATATAGAGGATATTCAAGTTCATTCGCTCATTTGAAGATTGGTACAGACGCCAATAAGTATGATTCTACTCTCTGGTCTCCAGTATTAGCCAATCAAAATAGACCAGCAGAGACCTGGATACGGAAGCAACCGGACCAAATAGTATATCCCTACAATTATCTTGATGTTTGCCATGCTAAATTTGTATAATAGATTAATCCGACTTTGGAACAGTCAACTGTAAATGTGAGGGGTTTTCATATTAACATTCATGCACTCTTTTAAGTAAGAAGCTATTCAATTCAGCCAATAGTATAGAATCTGTCAAGCCTAGTTCTAAATACATGACACTAGTAGGTCATTATTGTTGCAATGGGTTTTTCAGTTATCATGTAAGTTACATCAGTGTCAACAACTGATCTTTCTTAGCAAAAAGTAACAAATGTAACAAACTTCATTTTACATACAATTTTTATCAATTTTTATATAGAATCTTAGCTATTCTAACAGTAAATTCAATGATAAAAAAAAAGATGATAAAAAAACAAGACTAAAATTTTCAGAATACATGTACATGTGTGTATCCCTGCGGAGTGCCATGTTATTCACGATGATAATTAACCTTTATAAATGTCACATCATGCACAAGTCCATTGTAACCTTGGCACAACCATCCCCGGAATAGATCAAATATATACCCAAGTGGTGGGGGGAAGTCGGGCTACAATTTACTGATACTACCCCTGTATACTGGATTAGTCTAAAATCTTGAAAATGATTGTCACATTTTGTAAAGCATTGTAACATAAAAAAGCTTCAAATCATATGAGACTCTAGTTAGCAAACTTTTCAAAAAGATCTTATGAACATTATTATTTATAAGTGCCTGTGAATAGTTCAAGAGAAACATGTATGTAGTACTGAAAATAAATGTAAATTTAAAATAAATTTGTCAAAAAAAACAACAACACGCAAACAACTTGGCTAAATGCACAAATGGAATAGAATGAACTCAAGTACATTTAAATAACAAATCTTTTGCAAAACTTTTTTTAAGAAGGTTGAAAATAAAATATTAAACAAAATAAAAGCTTAAAATATATTATCTTCTATGCACACTTATTTATTCTACCCCAAAAAACCCAGATAAAATAACACAGAAAAACATAAGAAGAAAAAAATTGAAGCAAAAAAACCAAACAAATGCCAAAACCACACAAGTGACTTTGGTGAAATCTAGGACAATTTTACAGAAACCAATAATTACAAATTACTTAATACTTCTTTATATTTTTATGTCTTTTCATAAATTTGAAGCCATCTTTTGTTGTCTTACATTTCTTCATGGACTCCAAGATTAAAAGAGCAAATATTGAATACCCAACAGTATATATCATAAGTTATAAAGATTGTTGACAGGTTATATGGCCCTATATAAACGTTTGTTTGTAAATATAACCCGAGCCACTAAGAGAGGACTATATTGCAAACAACCATTTACTAGTATACACTTAACAAAAGTTCTAACCGATCACTTTTTAAATTTTGATTATTTTATAACGGGTCAATAGATCCTTATAAAATTTTGCAGAGATGATTTTTGTGTCATGTTCTACCGATTTGTGGAAAGAAAAATAATTTAATACGGTTCCATGCACTCATGCGAGAGACAGGGCGCGGTTTACACATTTTGGCACGAAATGTTCGTGCAGAGCGTGGTGAGTATTAAATTTTACATTGCATAAATCCTTGTTAACTTTATAAGTGAAAAAACATAAAACATGGCACGAATGTCGATGCAGGATCGTGCCGTAGCAGTTGGAATGTTGAATGCTGGAGCCTCTATCAGACAGGTGAGTGGCTGTTCATAAAAATATTTTTTTAAAAATATCGATAAAGTATTATTTAAATAATAGAAAATTTTATAATTTTATTATTATCAATGTGTTCATAGTCTTCGAAATAAAATAAAAGTCGGATCTATTGGTATTATTCTTTTTCATATATAAGCGAAAACTCAGGGTGATCGGTTAGAACTTTTGTTCAGTGTATTCGGCCATATAACCTGTCATGGATATTTACAACAAATCTTTAATACTGCAAACTTCCCTTTTTAGAGAAAAAAGTGAAATTTCTTAATAAATTGACATCAGCCGTGTATATAAAACTATATAAATGTCATGATTATCCAATGAAATGTGACGTTACAAACATGCAGTATTATAATATGCTCTGACTGCATGATGTGCACACTTACTGTCACTGATTGCTTATATTAGTAACTATGCAGGCTAATATGACCCAGCTTATATTGGTTGATTATATTAGTAACTTTGGCAACTTGCATAATCTATATCGAGTTAAAGGTAAAGCATCACAAGCTAAAAATAACTATATGTATGTATTTCAAATACATTATGTACTGATTTGATCACATGGTATATTAAAACTAACTACATATGTATAACACTACATCTTTTAAAGGTATAAAGCTAAAGAAGTATTTTTTTATAAAATTTTATAAACTGTAACATCATACATGCTATAACGCCCCGGACATCCGGGAAAGTCCCGGAAATAAGGTGTCTGTCCCAAAGACGTCCCGGAGATGATTATGTCCTGGTAAAAACAACATAGGAACTGAACAATTTTTGAAATGCTTTTTTCTTTTGCCATGTATACCGGGTAGCTTTATACCCTTTAAGGTTCACTGCAAAAATGATTTATATGGATATAAATAAAGAATGGACATAGAATATTTTTTGATGACCCTCCTTTTCAAAAATGAATATTCTATAATCTCTATAATTACTTTTCAGAAGCTAAAAAATGCATATACATGTATATTGATTTCACCTCATTTGAGTCGGAGGTCATATAATTGATATAAAAAAGGTAGTGCAGGGGATATGTGAAATATATATGATACACTTTCTTTAATCTAAATCATAGCCAATAACTGAACAAGAAAAAATGCTAAACATTTATGAGTAACGAAAATCATAGGACTACATAATTAAACTCAAAATCGAGACTAGATTGTGCCTCCCTCTCATTGGTCACTTTTTAAACTTCATCTTCAAGAGTTTCAGACTAATGAATAACGACAATATTCTATAAGCATCAGAATGTTTTCAATATTAATACGTATTATTTTCACCTGTATAATCAGTGATTTGTAAACAAAGAGAGGAATTATGCTGTAGGTCTTTTGGGTACAGGAGGAGGAGGGGCAGGTCTTGCTGGTACAGGAGGCATATCTAATGGTACTGCACCCTGATTGGTAAATGGTATATCAGTGGGCGGTCTAGCGGGTACAGGGGGCGGAGCTGAAAGAGGGGCTGATGCCATTGGTTCAGTATTGCACATATTTGAGTCATTTCTTGGGGGAGGTGGGGGTGGCATACCCTGGGGCCTGGACATAGGTAAAGAAGGGGGTGGATGTGAAGGTGCCCCTTCACTTGGTGTAAAATTGTTGCTTAAACTGTCAAATTCATTAAACACAGCGTTTGTTTTTAGGGCGTTATCATTCACTGGCCGAGGAGGAACGGCTGGCATATTGTAATTCGATGTATCTGTGTTTATAACAGCAGGTTGAGTTGGCATTAAAGGAATACTAGTTGGAAGCATTTGAGATATTGCACTGGTATCAAATGGGTCCGGCTTGGTTTCTTTAGCATTTGGTGACATAGGTTTATCTAAAAGCGACTCTCCTTCCGGTGCCAAATCTCTTCTTTTAGGAACAGCTGGCGGGGCTGGGGCTACCACTCCAACATTAGTTGTTTTTGCACCCCATATAGTTTCATATTCTGTTGGCTCGTAAACAGTTTCACTTTTATTAGACCCATTCAGTAATATTTGTCCTTTCTCCGCATCAATTTTACTATGATCAACAACACTGGAGTAATAATTCTGACTAGTCTCTGGTAAAGCTTTTGGCACAGCTGGTAACGTGCCTCTATCTATCATAGACTGTGGTCTTGGAACAACAGGGGGCGGGGCTGTGGTCGGCCCTGCGGATGATAATCCACTATTTGATTCAATGTAACAACTCTGAATATTTCGCCTTGGGGCAGGTCTTGGTTTTGATTCTTCATCAGCTTCCTTCCCTTCCAAGCTATCCTTCCTTAATGCAGGAACTGGTTGTGAACTAGCTGTAGTAATGTTTTCAGCACTTTGAACACGTTGCATGCCTTGTGGAGGTTGGAGGACTGTGTCTGCTGATAATGGAATGTCATCTGAGGTTTTACTTTTTGGAATGTTAGATTGATTTGGCTTCAAGCCTGAAATAACAAGCAAGAAAACATAAAATTCTGGAACAGTATAACCTGTATTTACAAGTCACTTATATATTACCTAATACTGTATATAGCAGTCATATCAAGTTTTGATGACAAGAAATTCCATCATAATTATGTGTATTCTATTCAATCATAAAGTGACCCTGTCTAACATTGTTAGGTACTCTGGTTCATCATGACAATTTACATGAATTTCACTTTACAAGTGTAAATATTAAACAAGAGGGCCATGATGGCCCTGTGGTCGCTCACCTGTATATAGGCCCCCCATCCCCGGGCCAATTTTTACCCAAGGGCTTTTATTTGTTTATTTGAACAGACTTGGTAGACACCCATAAGAAGATGTTTCATGCTAAACATCTAAGTTCTAGCTCATTGGCATTTTTAAAAGAAGATTTCTAAAGTTTTTACTATACACATATAGTTAAAAACAATGTCACCCCTGGGGCAGGGCCAGTTTTGACCCCCGGGACGTTTATTTTAACAAACTTTGTAGATATTTACTTAAAGATGTTTCATCCTTAATATCTAAACTCTAGCTATTTGGGTTTTTCCAAAGAAGATTTTTAAGTTTTTGCTATACACATATAAGGAAAATCAATGACCCCCACCCCGGGCGGGGCCAGTTTTGACCCCAGGGCTTTTATTTGAACATACTTGGTAGACACCCATTAGAACATGTTTCATGCTAAATATCTTAGCTCTAGCTCTTTGAGTTCTTTAAAAGAAGATTTTTTAAGTTTTTACTATATGCATATTGGGAAAATCAATGACCCCCTGGGGCGGGGCCAATTTTGACCCCAGAGCTTTTATTTGAACAAACTTGGTAGACACTCATTAGAAGATGTTTCATGCTAAATATCTTAGCTCTAGCTCTTTGGGTTCTTTAAAAGAAATTTTTTAAGTTTTTACTATATGCATATAGGGAAAATCTATGACCCCCTGGGGCAGGGTCAATTTTGAACCCAGGGCTTATATTTGAACAAACTTGGTAGACACTCACTAGAAGATGTTTCATGCTTAATATCTTAGCTCTTGCTCTTTGGGTTCTTTAAAAGAATTTTTTTTAAGTTTTTACTATATGCATATAGGGAAAATCTATGACCCCCTGGTGCGGGGTTAATTTTGACCCCAGGGCTTTTATTTGAACAAACTTGGTAGACATTCACTAGAAGATGTTTCATGCCAAATATCTAAGCTCTAGCTCTTATGGTTCTTTAAAAGAAGATTTTTTAAGTTTTTACTATATGCATATAGGGAAAATCAATGACCCCCGGGGCGGGGCCAATTTTGACCCCAGGGCTTTAATTTGAACAAACTAGGTAGACACTCACTAGAAGATGTTTCATGCTTAATATCTTAGCTCTAGCTCTTTGGGTTCTTTAAAAGAAGATTTTTTTAAGTTTTTACTATATGCATATAGGGAAAATCAATGACCCCCTGGGTCGGGGCCAATTTTGACCCCAGGGCTTTTATTTGAACAAACTTGGTAGACATTCACTAGAAGATGTTTCATGCCAAATATCTAAGCTCTAGCTCTTACGGTTCTTTAAAAGAAGATTTTTTAAGTTTTTACTATATGCATATAGGGAAAATCAATGACCCCCAGGGGCGGGGCCAATTTTGACCCCAGGGCTTTTATTTGAACAAACTTGGTAGACACTTACTAGAAGATGTTTCATGCCAAATATCTAAGCTCTAGCTCTTATGGTTTTTTAAAAGAAGATATTTAAAGTTTTTTCTTTTGGTTGCCATGGCAACCAGAGTTCTGCATGGAATTAAATTCTTTGAACAATTTTTAAAGGTGACCACCAAATGAACATTCCTGTGAAGTTTGGATGAAATTGGCTCAGTGGTTTATGAGGAGATGTCATTTAAAGCAAAAGTTTACGGACTGACGGACGACGGACGGACGACGGCCGGACCCCGGACGAAAAGCGATCACAAAAGCTTACCCTGTCACTTTGTGACAGGTGAGCTAAAAAGTTGCAGAAAATCAACATAATTTACAATAACAAAATTATCAGAAAATAAGCTGAAGAAAGGGAAATTGTTTTCATATGTATCAACTGTAACCGTTTGCTTCAATGGAACATTCTAGTTCACACAAACATGTATATGACAGATATAAAAGATTAAAAAGAAGACTCAATGATGCTGAAATACAATCATTTCAAGCAGAGGCAAGCCTTAAAACCATCATCCTTACATAACATAGCTGGACGGACTGACAAATCGACAATTGTGGGGTGCATTTTGAAAGAAAGTAAACTTACAAACATTAACCCCTACTGGCATGCCAGCAGTTCCCATACGAAAATCTTAGTTACTTTAAAAATAATTTTTATTACGCCAAAGCACCAGAATATTGATGTTACACATCAATATTTGGTTCATCACACATATTATGGAAATTCCATCATGTTCTAAACATAGAATAACTCTTCGTTATCAGGCCTCATATAGGGTACCAAAATTATCCATTATTTTGTATGAAGAGAAGTAGTTCCCGTACAAATAATATAACCCATTATAATTTTAATATGTTGTTATATCAGACCTATTTTTCATTTATAATTGTTGAAGAGACCATTTTCCCAGAAGTAGGTAGGTGTAATTTAAGACTAAACGCTGGTATATATACATTACCCCGTACTGAAACCCCAACATAATCACATGCAATGGCGTGCTTGTATGCATATTATTTTACTCATTAAAGTCATGAAATTATTTAATATAATAACATAGGTAAAAATTCTGATAATTAAACAGGTTTACAGTGCATTGCCTACTTATCTGTTCACTGGTGGTATTATTAGAAAACCCTTTAACCCTTTAATATGTAAGTATTTTTGCGCATGCTCGCAAGGACGGAATCCCCTAAAAATTAGCAAGGTCACGTTTTAACAACGCACAGGTGAACGTGATTTAAGATGAAAACTTTTTACATGTACTGTTGTACTGACACTTAGATTTTGTCTCGTTTATGCATCTGCTTGATTTGATATCAATTTTTGATAAAAGCAAGTAAAAATCTAACGTTCAAACGAAAAAATACCGGTACTGCTTCTGTACGGGAACTGTTCGCACGCCAGTAGGGTAAGAAGAATAACACAATAACTAGAAATGTGTCCCTATCACATGGATGCCCCCACAGTCTTCTGTTATATCAGTGTATAGATATATGGATGGACAGCATGACAAGATACACAGTCAAGGGCAAATCTATATGCCCCACTCCCCCATAGGAAATGGGGTCATAAAAATGTATATACGGAACGAGACTCACCTGGTTTTAAAGGGGCCGGTAACGTCCCTTTCATATCAGCCCCTCCAGACTGAAGGAGCTTTTCTATAAGAGCCGCAGCCTCTTCGGGTGATTTGGCATGACCCATGTGAGTTACATTGGTTGGCAGCCCGATTCTTGTAATCTACATAAAATAAAACAGGGATTTGAAAAAAAAACCTGTATTTGTCCTAAATTGCTATATAACTTCAAAAAAAGTTATAACTACTTTACAGCATAAAGTGATCATTGATACATAAGCCATAATAGAACCTGAGTTTATTACCTTTACCGTATTAAATGGACTTTATTTCAAGCTAGGTTCATATGGTAACTTATAACTTCACAAAAAGGTCTGATAAAGCTATAAATCCAGGACTCAGTTACACACTAGAAAGCAGAATTTAAGCAAGTAAATATGAACTTGACAGCAAAACTTCTACAGTATCATGAAAGATAAGAAACTAGCCCGTTATAATTTTAAAATTTAGTCAAGAAAAATGACTCACAGCATATACCAGAGATATCCGTAATGAAAAATGCTTGATATTTATAAATGCAACAATTGTCAAGAATTGATCAGAAAGTAATTCATCACAGAAAGTAGTTCATCACAGAAAGTAGTTCATCAATCAGATAACAGTACTTTGGTTTGACATAACTCACCTTATTCTGTTGTTTGGACTTGATTTTGCCAATAGCTTGTGGTCCTAATGGTTGTTTTATTGGTGGGCCTGACATAGGCTTTCTTGGTCTTTGAGGAGAACCTAAAATTTTAAAGTTAACATGAAATATGGCACAGGATTCCTTGGTCTTTGAGGAGAACGTAAAATTTTAAAGTTAACATGAAATATGGCACAGGATTCCTTGGTCTTTGAGGAGAACCTAAAATTTTAAAGTTAACATGAAATATGGCACAGGATTCCTTGGTCTTTGTGGTGAACCTAAAATTTTAAAGTTAACATGAAATATGGCATAGGATTCCTTGGTCTTTGAGGAGAACCTAAAATTTTAAAGTTAATATGAAAATGCCACGTAATGCACAGCTAGACATGGTAATGATAATTCCTGTAAAGGTTGGATGAAATTGCACCAGTAGTTTCTAAGAAGTCCAGACAAGTTTTGTGACGGACGGACAGATGGACATACTAATGAGGCTACTCACTTGTTCTCCCTATTGTTCTTTTTAGCCACATAAAGCAAAATAGCCACATAAAAGCCTTGCTAAATTAACTAGAACTATCACTAAATGTGATTAATACCCCCGCAATACTGCTTTAGAAATGATGAAGATATAAGAATTAAGAAGAAGGATAAAATACTTTTTTACATTAGTTTTTTTTTTTCCCG